GTTTCACTGAAACTCTCCACAGTGCAACTCTCTGATGCAGGAACATACAAATGCCTTGTACCTAAATTTAATGCAGAAACTGTGGTGACGCTTGCTGTAGGTAAGTTTAATTTAATTTAGATTAATTTCTTCACTTTGCAATTTAGATGTGAAGAAAGACTTTAAGTAACCTAGATATTGGGGGTCAAAGGGCACTCAGAATGACAAGAGGGATAAAGGAACACTTGGGTCAGCTACAATAGAAAGTGGATCATTCACAGAGACATATGAGTTTTATTCTGGGTAACCAAAATAGCTCTTACTTGGCTAGAAAATACTTCCTGGACAGATATTTGGACTGAGCATATTGACATAACAAGACAAGGGAATGACTACAGAGTCATTGGCATTCTGGTTTTCTGGCCATTAGAGCACACAACCTGACCAGTGTAGCACATAGCACATGGAGCAGCTGGGTTATTAAGCTGTACAACTGGACAAATAAGAGAGATACATAACAAAAAACAAAAGTACTTAGAATCACAGGCGATTTGAGCACCCACTAAATGGGCTTTTTGCCAACCGAGGGGTATCTGGCCCCGTGAGAAAAACACTTCAGCCAAGGAGGCCCTTTTACCAAGATGAACCAGAGGAAAGCTGATTTGACAAAGAACTACTTGGATAGGTACAAGTTAATTTCAGTCTATATACAGGAACTTTGAAAAGAGAAAATGGAATAAATAAGTAAGATTATTAGAATTTTGACCAGTTAGATTGGCACAGTTGATGTCACATAGCATCGTGCCTCTCTATAAGCTTAAAAGGACAATTTGAGTTAAGGTCAATAAGAGAGACACTTGGGCGAACTGTAACTATTTTAAGAATCTTTTTTTTTAGATATATATTTTGGCAACTACATTTCAATATTTTGTCTTTCATTCTTTTCTTCGCAGGTTCAGTTTCCTCACCAGTGATAGAACTCACCAATGTCAAAAATGAAATGGTGTTAGAGTGTAAATCTAATGGCTGGTATCCAGAGCCTCAGATGTTGTGGGTGGACAGTGAGGAAAAACCCATTTCTGTGGAACCTACAAAGAATGTCAGAGGTTCTGATGGCCTCTATACAGTCAGCAGTAAAGTGACTGTGGAGAAAGGACAGAGCTACAGCTTCACCTGCAAAGTTCAACAGAAGAATATCAGTCAAATCAAAGAGACACACATCCATGTTTCAGGTAGAAATGCTTTTTTTTAAAATCACTCACATTCATTTTCAGTTACAGAAAGTAGAATCTAGAACATTTTGTCTCCTTATATTTACAGGTGATCTCTTTATGGTCCAGTCTAATACTGCTGTTCACATTATCGTCAACTTGGCTGTCTGTTTAATAAGCTTTGTGACAGTAGTAATCCTAATATGGAAATGTGGACAAAAGAAAACCAGTAAGTTCAAACTTCATAGCACTTTTTACCCCAACCAAATTATCATCAGGCCTTTTTAATGTCTTGTTTTAGTGTAACTGCCTTTAAAATTAAGGGCTAAGTAGTACAAACGTGATTCAAGTAAAAATGACGCAAACATATAAACAGTTATGTTAAAGGCAAAATCGGAGGCTCTCAGCAACTTTACTTTAATAAAGGAATATAACCCTGTGTCCTGTGTTGTAAAGAGATGTGTTAAGACATGCAGAGTTGGTCTCATCAGTGCAGACTGACTGAGATTGATTGCAATATCTTGACTCTCTGTCTGCATTTATAAACTAAGT